TTACGATCCTTTTATTCATTCGAATTTATTTAAATAGTGTGAACTTTCAGATAATGAATGATCTTTTGTGTGAACAATCTTCGGAAATTCACTTTCTTTGTAGTTAGGAGACTTTCCCATAGATTACCCTCATAAAAACGTCATTTTGCAAATTTTTTCAAAGATAAAATAAAATAAAACAAAACAAAATAAAAGTGCAAAAGCGGTAAAAATACTCGAAATAATTAAACGTGGAACAAAGAAAAATATCGAATATAAAACAATCATTTATGCAAAAAATATCGAAAAGATACCTTCCCTTTATTTGAGATATATCTTCGTAGATTTCCCTCACTTTGAAATTTCTTCATTTTTCTAATATTAAAACAATAATTATTGGAAACATGCGAAATAAAAATATTTACAATAAATAGCGATAAGCATATTTATCTATATGTGATACAAGTGAATACATAACATATAAAATGTACATACACAAGGGATTGAAATAAAACAAATGAATATTACAACCCAAAATATATTGATTGAAAAGTAAGTATTTATAATTACAAGGACCAAAATAGGAAAAATAGAAACTTAAATGACTAAAATAGCTAAAACTGAAACTTAAAATACTAAAATGGCACAAACATAAATTTGAAGGAATAAAATGGCATAAACAGAAACTTAAAGGGCTAAAACAGTAAAAAAAATAGAAACTTAAGGGTCTAAAATGGTATTAACAAAAACTAAAAGGGCTAAACATTAATTACAAAATAAACCAGAGCCTAATAATCAATTTAAAATGAATATAGGGACCATAAATAAAAATAACCCATAAATATCATTAAGGACTAAAATAACATAAACCAGAAATATGGAGGACTAAATAATAATTAAACCATATGTAACTTAGTGACTAAAATAATAAATTTACAAATACTGTTGCCAAATTCAAATATCCACAAAAATACACAAAACACTAGATCAGTGACTAAAACGAAAAAATAACAAACATTGAAACCAAAGTGCTCAAAATAGAATAAAAAATAATTCATTAATTGACTGAGAAATGAGATTACAAATGCACGGGATCTAACTGCAAATATCCCCACAGAAAATAAAAGCATGGGTGAGATTTACAAAAGGCCAACGACTAAATAACTATTAACCCCTAAACATTAAAGCACGCATGCTAGATTACAAAGCTAGAAGGACTTAAACGACTATTTACCCAGTACTTGAAAAACAAGAAAAAGCCCCTGGTTAAACGACGACGTTTCGATGATAATATAAGGGTTAGTTCTAAACCCTTAACAGCCACTCCCTCATTTTCTCAATTGAGGCCCGAAATGGAGAAAGAGATAAAACTCTCTCATTTCTCTCTTCACTTTCTCTTATCAAACAAGAATCAAAGCTCTGGCCACCATAGGTTGGTGGCCATGGGGAGTGAACCCACTCCGAACCTTTCTCTTCGCCCCTACTATCTCTAGAAACCCGCTAATCGAAACCCCATAACCAAATAATTTTTTTTACCTTTAGTGTTAAATTTTTCGGTAGGACCTCGATCAAATGAAAGGTAAGATTTTTGATTTCTTTCTCTTTTTTCTTGGGTTTGATTTTTCTAATTCGGTTTCTCTCTTTCCCTTGTGCTTAGTTTTTTTTCTTCCCCTACCAAATCGTTTCGGTATCTTCTCTCCTTCTTTTTTATTTTCATGTGATTGGTGATGGTTGTTGATAGATTAGGATTTCCTCGGGATATCCTCTGTACTTTGTTTTTATTTTTTTATTGAGTTTATCTGTTTTTCACTGCTGATGGATTGATGAAGAGACCTTCGGTCACTGTAGGTGAGAACATCAGTGTCAGAGGCTGTCGACGAGGGGAGGGGAGGGGAGGCTTGAGCGACGGCTGGGGCATGGCGGTGCAGTGCACGCACTGCTTGGTGACTGGAAGGTTGTTGGCGACGCGACTGGCTATCTTTGGTTTAGGGTTTCAAAAACCCTAAAGTTACTTGGTTATCGCATGGACTCGAGTCGGATCCAGGTAGGCCTAGGTCGAGTTGAATCATCTGGTGGGCCTTGGGTTGCAATCTGGGTTTTGGGTTGATGTAATCTGATTTTGGGCTCTAAGTTGGGGTTGGGCTTGTAATGATCTTGGGCTTCAAGGCCTGCACAAAATGTGTAATATGTAACTTAAATTAAAATAATAATAATAATAATAATAATAATAATAGCAATAAATAAATAATATTAAATATAATGTTTTTGTAGACCCGAACAATTATGGGTATCTACATATTTCATTCAATTTTACAACCGAATTAGCTTTTTACATCCCTTCTTATGCTTATTTTATTTTAATTATATTCCAGCTACTATAAACCAGAAATTGAAAGTGACATAATTATAATAATTCATTTACTTTATAAAAAAATGATTCTCCCAAATGTCAAAATTAGATAAGTTGCAAAAATACAAATCCAAAGACCAATATATGAAGGTGGTTGAAGCCTCCAAGTAACATCTTCCTCATTACTTGAAATAACAAAATTCATTAAATAATATGTAGTTTTTAGAATATATATTATTGAGACAAATTACAATCCTCAATACGAACTCTTGGTTTGGATATAAAAAACTATAAAAATAAATAATTTTTTATTAATTTTTGAATTTTAAAGAAATATAACAGTAAATAGAAAAATATAATTTATGAAAATAGAAAAGTTAATGATCAAAATCTAAAACTATAATAAAAATTATCCAAGTTTATACCTCGTTGGTTCCTATTGTCCCCAACCTAATGTTTCTTTCATTTTGATAAAAAATAATAATGTTTCTTTCATAACTCTACTTTTTCTTTAAAGTTTTGACTGGCACCGACGCGTTCTCTCATCACGTTAAAGAGATTTCTCCATACATATACCAAAAGATTTTGGATTGGACCCATCAAATTTTATAATACATTTTTTTTTATAGAAAGTCCACGTCTTCCTAATTTACGATACTCATTTGGCCTTTTACTATTATAATTTATGCTCTGTTTTGAAAATCGGACCGGATCGATTGGTTTAATCGGGAATCGTTGTTTAGTCTGGTTCAATCTAAATCGGTTGAACCGTTATTAGTGAATCGGCCAGAACCGCTGAACCGTTCGAACCGGACCGGCAGAAAACCGGAAAAAATTGGGAAAAATCGGAAAAAATCGGGATTTTTGTTTTTAAAAAAAAAGAATTAAACCAAACAACGTCGTTTGTTAAACGAGCCAAGTTGAACTCGAGTATTGCTAAGCTCGACTCGAACTTGAAAACTTTAAAAGTAAACTCAACTCAACTCAACTCAAAATCACAAGCTAAAAATTATCAAGTTCAACTCAAACTCGAAATATAATACTGAAACTTGAACTCAAAAAGGCTTGAACTAAAAAAAAATTAGAAGTTCGATTGAAGCTTAAAATTCGAGCTTGATTGAAGTGAAAGAATAGTTATATAATTACAGTTATATAATTTTGTTATGATTTTTTTAACCCCAAATTTATTTTTTAATTATAGTTATATAATTATATTTATTATTTAATATGTTTTACCTTAAATATTATGTTGTAGTTAATTTGAATCATTTTGTTTCACTTGATTTTATGGTTTTTAACTTATATATGTTATGACTTGCTTTGAATATGACTTGTGATATAAAAAATTATTTTTTATTAAATATTTTTGGTATTTTTATTTAATTTTTTAAATAATTATGACTTCGTTCGGTTCTTCCGACCGGTCGGACCGGTTTGACCGGTTGAACCAGTGAACCGGTAGCATGACCGATTCGCTAACCGGTCCGGTTCTGAAAATCATGAATTTATGGTAAATTATATGTTTAGTATATAACTTATTACTTTTATTTTGTTTTACTATTTAACTTTTATATTTTTCTAAATCATACCTAATATTTAGTTGATATTTCATTTTGGTACCCATCGTTAAAAACGTAATGGTAATATTGATGTGTCACCATAAGATAATGACACATCACCATTGAAAAAATAGAAAAAATCGCCTCAGCAATTCTGTTAATTTTTTAATGGTGGCTACCAAATTAAACATAAACTAAACGTTAGATAAAATTTCAAAAAAAAAATGTTTGGGTATCAAAATGGAGCAAAAGTAATTGTTTAGGTACTAAACATATAGTTTACCCTATAATTTATTATGATCATTATTAGGGTAAATTACACCATTCCTCGCCAAACTATATTCTCTCTTATATTTTACTTAATGTACTTTCAATTTATCTAATTTACTCCTTAAACTTTGAATTGCTACTATTTTGATCACTTCTAATTATTTTATTATTATTTCAACATGACATGGTATTTTTATTATTATTTAATATAAAATAATTGATAATATAAAATAAAAACAAAAGGTGGTCGGACGCCACCGCCGATCATCGTCGACCGCCGTAGATGGTGGTCGTTCGATCCTAAATTTCATGGGTCATTTCGTCTCGACCCCTGAGTCTGAATCTGGTGGTTATTTCACCGGAAAATGTCCTAAAACTCATGAATCTCAACTGAAACGTTTCAGCTTCCACACTTTCAATCTCCCATTCATGGACTTCGGAATAAGTTCCGATAAAATGGAGGTCAAACAGACTAATGGTGTTGAGGAGAAGCGACCCATGAAATTTGGGACCGAACGACACCCATCTACGATGGCCGATAATTTTGTTTGACCACATTTTGTTTTTATTTTATATTAAATAATATTAATAAATACAACATCATACAAAAATAATAATAAAATAATTCAAAATATCAAAACAGTAACAACTCGAAAATTCAATGAGTAAATTAAAAAATTGAAATCACAATGAATAAAATAAGAGCGAAAGTATACTTCAAAGGAATGATTTAATTTACCCTTATTATTTTTATGTCGGTCTCTTTTTATCTTATTTGTATAAATAGTAGGCAGCTTAGTTGAATGTAGTTCATTAAATTCTCTAGCTTTCCGTTTCCTACCGATATAGTGTCAAGAAAAGAAAAAAGAGAAGAAAATGGTGGCGGCGGCGTTGCCAGCTTGTATGAGAGCCAAGAAAACGAGAGCGGTAGGGATTCCGATGGTCGATCTTTCACTGGACAGGTCCATAGTGTCGGGGCTCATCGTCAAAGCCTGTGAAGAGTACGGTATCTTTAAGGTTATTAACCATGGCGTCCCATGGGAGATAACATCGAGATTGGAAGCTGAAGGGGTTCAGTTTTTTGGCAAACCAGCTGGCGATAAGGAGAAGGCAGGTCCGGCCACCCCTTTCGGCTATGGTCTCAAAAACATCGGCCTCAATGGCGACAAGGGTGAACTTGAGTATCTTCTTCTCCACGCCAATCCTTTCTCCATTGCTGAACGTTCGGAATCCATCTCCAACGACCCTCAAAAGTTCACGTATGATTATCATTTCCCCTTCATTCTTAATACCGCTTTTTCTTTTTGTTCTTAAAACGAATCTATCTGGTCACGTTGGAAACATTGGGAAATAAGTTGCCCATCTCACCTTAGAATTGTTGACGTATTTTCTATTAATAATGACGTGTGATCACATAATTTATGATGATATATAACATCATTAATTTTTTAGTAAACTATTCAAATGACCACTTAATTATAGGGTTGATATTGATATGACCATTATATTTCCAATTTTGACAATATAATCGTATAACTATTTAAGTAGTTTTAATGTAGCCACTTGTCATTAAAAATAGATGACTTAACTGATGTTGACCTATGATTCATTGTTAGTTAATAACAATCACATCAGTTATGTCGTTTAACGACAAGTGGGCTATATTGAAACCACTTAAATAGATATATAGTCATATTATCAAAATTGAAAGTATGATTGTAATATCGGTACCAACCCCATAGTTAAGTGGTCATTTGAGTATTTAACTCTTGATTTTTTTATGGTGTGTGACCAAAAAAATTAAAATTAAAGTTATGTATAATTTTATAAAAAGCAGTTAGATGATCAAAACAGAATAAAAATAATAATTGAGATACTAAATATGTAGTTTACCCCATTTGGTATAACTTAGTAATGCTTTGAATTGGGAAGCATTTGGCAGTTACACAAAAAAGGAATTTAAATTTTGCAGATTGTTTACCATTAATGCTTGGTCTGGCATCCTAGAAATGGACATCTTCCCTTTATGATAAAAAAGGAAAAGTTTCAAAAGAACTAAAGGATTCCATTTATGATAATAACTGGTTTTTCCTATTCTGTAATTTATTTCATTTTCACACCGACTTCAACTAGAATTATTGATTTTTTATATATAACAACAAGGTGATCTGAATGAAAAACAGGGTTCAATTATAACTAGGTTGATAAAAGTCGGCAAACAAACTTGATGACAAATTTAAGAGAGAAATAAAAGATTCTTAGAAAATAAAGCCGATGGCTCCATGTTTCACACAGCGGATTTAGAAAAGATTTATTAATGGGGCCAAAGGAGTAATCATATTTAAAAAAAAATATCATAATATTTAAGGTAAAGTATACAAATGATCTCTCAATTATAGGATATTAATTTCTTCAGTCTTTCGCCTACTGAAAGTTACAAAATTATCTCTTAACTATAAAGTGTTGATTTGTCGAGTCTTCCGACTATTAAAAGTTACGAAATGGTTATTTAACTATTCATATGTTCCAAACTCGTCCTATTCCGTTAAGAATTTGATGGTAGTTTGATATGGCTGTTAACTTGTTGATTGGGATATGATATAATCTAATCCCAGAATCTCAACCGACAATACATTTGAAACGGTTCTAGGATCAAATTTTATCATATCACAATCAACAAGTTAACATTCTATGACCAAATTTTATCATATCACAATCAACAAGTTAACGTACAAGACTGTATTCACATTTTAACAAAAAAAGACGAGATTGGAAAGTCAGATGACAATTTTGTAACTTTTAATAGTTGATGGACTCAACAAAGTAATATCCTATAGTCAACGGACTATTTTGTAATTTTGATAGTCGAAAGAGTCAACAAAGCAATAACTTATAGTCGATAGACTATTTGTGTAACTTACCCTTTTTTAAATAATATATGATGGTTACAAGGTATATCTGTTCAAGATTTTTATTAACTATTAATAACGCTTGAACCAAACCCCTTCATAATTTTTTTTCTTTTTACAGGCGTGCTGCTATGGATTATATAGAAGCAATGAAGGAGCTGGCAAGCGAGGTTCTTGATCTGCTGGGCGAGGGTCTATGGATCCCGGAAAAGCAGGTCTTCAGTAGGCAAATCAAGGACGTCCAAAGCGACTCGGTCCTAAGGTTCAATCATTATGCAGCGGTGAAGCAGCAGGGCCCATTCTCGAAAGGTTGTCAAGAGGATCGAATCGGATTTGGGGAGCATTCGGACCCTCAGATCCTCACCATACTGCGATCCAACGATGTTGGTGGGCTTGAAATTTGTTTGAATGATGATGGGCTTTGGATCCCGGTTCCACCTGACCCTACTCAATTCTACTTGATCATTGGGGATGCCTTGCGGGTCAGTTTTTAAATTATATTCTCTCAACTAATGACTCCACTATAATAAGATATAATTGAACAATAGATAGTCTTTTATTCTAGGTATTTAATATTTTGTCGAAATATATATTTAACATTTTTAAATTGTTATTTAAAGTGTTTGATCATTAACGATGATTAAAAAATTGTTATCCAATTAGTGTTTATATAACATGCTTATTTTTCATTAATACTAATTTTATTTTATTTTAAAATTGAAACCATTAGTTTTTTAGACCCACAAAATCCTTAAACTATCTAAAATCTCAAAATCTTCGAAATTTCTAAGTTTAAATCCCTAAATTTCATATATCGTCATTGAATCAGTCACTTCCAATCACTTCTTATGTCGTCACAATAGTTTTTCTTGCCTTTATATGTTGTCACTCGAAATCGCACGCCATCCCTAGATTCTGTTGCACAAAAACATTTTTTTCACTCAACTATCATTTGTCTGTCATCATCTTTAAGTATACACCTTTGCCTATACCTCCAGTTATCATTCATAGCCTAATCTCCAACCTTTAAGGAATTTTGTGCATTAGGAATTCAAGCAGAGTCTAGAAAATTTAAAATACGACTTTCTAAAAAAAAAAAAGTAGTTTTTTATTTATTTTTGTAAAATCAATATTAATAAAAATAATGATATATGTCAAGCATATATTGATTAATTTTCTTTAACTATCATTGACAAAATAATCATAAAATGAGAAATTCAAGCAGAGTCTAGAAAATTTAAAATACGACTTTCTAAAAAAAAAAAAGTAGTTTTTTATTTATTTTTGTAAAATCAATATTAATAAAAATAATGATATATGTCAAGCATATATTGATTAATGTTTCTTTTAACTATCATTGACAAAATAATCATAAAATGAGAACAAAATAAAACTTTAACACCTATTTTGATAAAAAAAAAGTTAAACATCTAAAATAAACAAAAAAGTATAATTTAGAGTTTTTTAGTTAAACCCTATAATATTATCTATGCTTTCCAATTAGTAATGTTAATTGGGCAGGTTTTAACAATTGGGAGATTTGTGAGTGCGAGGCATAGGGTATTGGCCAACACATGTGGTGATTCAAGGATGTCCATCATGTACTTCGGAGCGCCGCCTCTTGACGCAACCATATCTCCTCTCCCGCAGTTCGTTTCATCCCAAAAGCCAAGGCTTTATAGGCCATTTACTTGGGGCGAATACAAGAAGGCTGCCTACTCCTCTCGTTTGGGGGATTGCCGTCTTGACCTCTTCAAGCCAGGGATTTAAATAAAGGGTAAAGTATGAAAATGGTCCCTAGACTATAGGATACTATTTTATTAAGTCTTTTGACTATCAAAATTATAGAATGGTCCTCCAACTATAGAGTATTGCTTTGTTGAGTCCCTCCACTATTAAAAATTACAACATGGTCACTCGACTATTCAATATGTTCCAAACTCGTCTTTTTTTGTTAAAAATTGATGGTCGTCTGAGTTGGATGTTAACATGATGATTGAAATATGATAGTTGTTTGAGATTTTATGATCATATTTTATCATTTCACAATTAACATGTTAACGTTTAGCTCAAAATGCTATCAATTTTTTTACGGAAAAGGACTAATTTGGAACATAATGAATAGTTAGTTGACAATTTTGTTACTTTTAATAGTTGAGAGACTCAACAAAACAACACTCTATAATCAGAGGATCATTTTGTAACTTTTAATAGTCGTTGCACTTAATAAAACAATACCATATAGTCGAGGATCATTTGTATAATTTACCCTTAAATAAATATCAACATATTGAAATATGAAATTCATGTTAGTAGACGGTTTAAAACTTACTTTGTTGTTATGCAATCAAATTGAAATCAGTAATTTCAATTATATTTTTATTCTTAGATTATGATTTTGTTGTATAGAAAAAAATTAATTAGCGTCATATAATGTATTGGATAAGAAAAAACAAATGTTGAATATAAGCACCACATTTCTTCTTTCAAACTTTTCTACTGAGGCTTGAAAATAACGTCCAGATAATGAGATACAAATGTAAAATTTTATATTATAGAATAAATTTATAAAATTTTTAAAATAAGAATATTATTAATTAAAACATAAAATTATATTTAAATTATATTATAGTTTATAGGGATTTTTTAAAAATAGTTTATAGGGTAAATTATACGTTTAGTACATAAATTATTAGTTTTAGTTCGTTTTTATATCTAAATTTTAATTTGTTTCAAAATAATAGTAACATTTATTTTTCTTTCATTTTCTCATTAAAAAGCAAAATTGTTACAACATGACATTTTTTATGGGTAAACTGCATCAATTCATTACTCATCTGTCTTGTCACTACTATTTTGGTCACTTAAGTTTAACTTTTTTTTAATTTAATTACTTAACTTTCAAATTACTTCTAATTTAATCACTCTATTATTTAAATTGATTTTTTTATTTTAATTATATATTAACAAAATAATAATAAAAATGTCATATCACAAAATTATTAATAAAATAAAATAGAGTGATTGAAACATTAGAAATCAAAGAATCTTTACATTTTCTAGTGCTCCCAAAGATGTTTCTATTTCAGTCTAGCAATCAAAGAATCTTTGCATTTCCTAATGCTACCAAGGATGTTTCTTTTGTGTCTTAGAGTTTTGGGTGTAACAATTTTATATTTTCATTCATGGGAGCTATGTTCAACTGAATCGAGCGAAGAAGATTTTGAAAATCTAGATGGTCTTGCCATGTCACTAGAAAACGAAAAGGAGGAGCTGTCGCTTTTGAAGTATTAGTACCAACTTGAAGAAGAATCGAACAATAGTCAGAACCCAATCTCTCAAGATGCAAAGTCATAGAATTCGGATATAAATTTAACCGACAATCGTTAACCAAGAATCTTTCAAATCTTTGGCGTAACGAACCCGAGACCAAGTAAATAGATGACGACGAAAGCCAACATCTGATAATGCATTATCAAAGAAAAAATTACAAAATCCCCTACTTATTCCACTTCGAAAGAAATAAGTATCTAGATTCCACCGCTAAACCCCTATGATTCAATACGGAAGGAATTTGGAAAACCAAGTTGCTTGACCACAGCATCGGCAAAAATACTACTAATTCTGGGTTCCAAGATAGCAACCATCGAAGGTTGATGCTTTAACACAAACTGCTTAAAATAAAGTTGTTTTGTGAGGCTGTCAGCACACTAAAAATTCCAAAAACATGTAATTAATCATAAAAACAATGGGAGAGTTAGGATTGACCTAGTTTAGATAGAGGTGGAGAAATTCCACCATCCTCAACCATCAAAGAGTACATGGGAAATAGTCAGATTTTCTTGTTCATCATGTGGAATCGACGGATCCCGATGTTCAAATATCATTCCACCAATCATACGTGATGTCGATTGAACCCAATAAGAAACTAAAGGCCTGCCTGGGGGTTTGTGACTACGTTGTTTTTTGACCTTCAAACCTTTGGAATCGATTACTTTAACACCCTTAGAAGGACTAAACTCGTTGTTTTCAATACGACTCTTTATCGACATTCAGTTCTACTGTTTCCATTCATCAATATTTATCGCTAGATGAGAACCCCTATTGATTTTTCAGAAATTGTACAGTAACTTGAGGTACTTGACCTTCAACTGGTGTGTTCAATATGGACATTTTCAATTTGTTTCAAGATGCCATCAGTCAGGCTGGTTTTTTATTTGGTGATTCCTTGCGGATAAGAATCTGTGGAGTAGTCGAGGACCAGAGGCGTTAATTACTTGATTTTTTGGTAGAATATTCTTTGAGGACTACTTGTTATATTTTGACATAAATTATATTTAGTAATTAAGTTAGATTTTATTATAAATCTAGTGGTCGAAGATTTCTTGGTAATTGACTGTATTTAATAAAATAAATATTAATTTTAGGTAAGAAATAATTCTTGGTGACCAAGTATTTGGTTCTATAAATAGAGATTATATCTTAACCTCTAGGGTTATGTGTGAGATATTTATTTTGGAGAGATAAAATTCCTTTTGTGATCTCTATAACTTCTGGGCTTTATGTTGTAGAGATAATCTTGTAGGGATGTTGGAAGAGTGTTTTGGGATATGTCAGATCTTGATATCTATACTAGGTTTTGGGATACATGTGATATCATGTATTTGTACTCTTCATATTCTCTACGTTTATAGTGGATTGTTATCCATTTTGCCCGTGGAGGTAGGCAAGGCCGGACCACACTAATTCTTGTTTCTTTTGCATGTCTTATTTTATGTTGATATCACTTTGGTTATTTTTCCGCTTCCAAATTCCTAACAAGTTGTATCATGAGCTATAGTTCAGGCTGTGGAGTTTTGAAGAAATTTGTTGATTCGTGTTTTATTAGTGATTTTGAAGACATGCAAGATAAATTTGTTGCAATGAATTTTCAGTTGCAGAGGAGTAATTCTCGATTGATCTAGTGTTATTTTAATGGATGTTGTGTAAGAATTGAATTCATTGAAAATTTTACATTGGTGCTTCGACAAATGTGCGAACTTACGTAAAGATTAAAGTTGTTAAAGACTTAAAGACCAATTTTTGATGAAATTTAGGTTAAGGTGGAGATTTGTTATATTTTGACCTAAATTATAATTGATAATTAAGTTAGATTTTATTGTAATTCTAGTGGCTCAAGATTTCTTGGTAATTAACTTTATTTATTAAAGTAAATAATTATTTTAGGCAATAATTCTTATGGAATAAGAATTCTTGATGACCAAGTATTTAACTTTATAAATAGAGATTATGTCTTAATCAGGGTAATGCGAGAGAGAATTATTTTGGAGAGATGTAATCATTTTTGGGATATTTGTAACTTTTGGGGTTTATGTTGTAGAGATAGTTTTTTTTAAGGATGTTGGAAGAGTATTTTGGGATATATTGGGTTTTGGTATCTATACCAGGTTTTGGGATACTTGTGATATCATGTATTTGTAATCTTCGTGTTCTCTACGTTTATAGTGGATCATTATTCATCTCGCTCGTGGAGGTAGGCAAGGTCGAATCATATTAACTATTGTTTCTTGTGCACGTCTTTTTTATGTTAATATTACTTTGGTTATTTTTCCTCTCCCTAATTCCTATCAAGTTGTATCATGAACCTTGGTTTGGGCTGTGGAGTTTTGAAGAAATTTGTTATTGCATGTTTTGTTATCCATTTTGGAGACATGTGAGATGTATTTACTGCAATGAATTTTAGTTGTAGAGGAGTAATTCTCGATTGATCTAGTGGCACTTTAATGGATATTGTGTAAGAATTAAAGTCATTGAAAATTTTACATTGGTGCTTCGGCAGACATGCGAGTTATGTAAAGATTGAAGTTGTTAAAGACTTAAAGACAAATTGTTGTTGAAATTTAGGTCAAGCTGGAGTTTTTTTTTATTTTGACCTAAATTATAATTGATAAGTAAGTTATATTTTATTGTAATTCTAGTGGTTGAAGATGTAACATCTTAATCCACTGCGACCCGAAGATCGATTGATTATTACGCTACACGGGACCATCGAGGCCGTTAACCCAAAAAATTTATTTTTAAAATAATTAAAACATCCATTGAAAATCATCCAAAGTAAATAAAAGTATAATACAGGAGTTTTAAAAAATAGGTGTCCTAAAAAATATACATCCAACAGTTTATAAGAGTGATTTAAAATACAATACAACTCGAGTACAAGAGAGTCCATATACATTACATGCACTCTAAAAATATAATCAAGACGTACTCAAAAGATGACGTCGGTCTGGAATGAGTATTGTGCGATAAGATCCTCTTGAGAACCTGCGCATGGAAACAAATTTCGAACGTTGAACTCACAAGCTTAATGACACACTAATAACCAAACTATACTATATACATCCATTATATGATCATGCTTGGTAACATAAATATTTGCATACAATAATGAAAAACTATACATATATACAAAGGTGGGCATCACCGTGTGGTTGGCGAGTTTCACTAATCTCATAGATAAACACCCCTCTAGCCTACCTAGGGTGAGATTCAAAATTTTTACATAAAAAAGTTCACCCCACCAATATACTCCATACGAGTACTTGGTGCATCTATGCCCGATCGAGAAAGAAGTGCCTTCTGCACTAATTAAGACTTGCCTGGACATTCTACCACACAAACATTTACCTAGCTACTAGAGTAACCTGGGTGTCCCTGTTCTTTCATGAGCACCATACAAGGATAGTTTTATGATTTTCTAACTTATATTG